TAAATTGGTTGTAATTGGTCATCTAACTTTTTTGCTATCAATTTCCAAGTGGGTTAAAATACTTCATATAACCATTAAGTTTTCTTTTAATTTTTTTGGTTTCGTTCCGCATTTTGGGATTTAGTTCCACATTCTCCTACTTCACACCCCCCTCCCTACCCCCACCCAGGCCAAAACCAGTCCACGCCTTGATCTGTTAAGTGTGAACAGAGTTTCTCTTTTAAAACAAGTTGGATTCAGTGGCAGAAACACTTTCTATTTTAAAAAAACTGAAGATAACATAAGATGAAATTTCCCAATAATGTATTCATCCTGTTATTTGCCAATTCAGGAAAAATATGTGATCGAATACACACTTTAAAAACATGAAGCAATTTGCAAAGGATGTGAAAACATGTTTGTTATGTGGGCAATAGTAACTATTCAGTAAAAAAATAGTTCATTGAATTATGATGAAAGGTACCATTGTCAACCTGTGCATGTAATTATCAACAGGAAATAGTATTACATCAATTCAATTTGTTGAAACTTGCATAACAAAAATATTTTACTACAATAGTGAAGAAAACATTGAGAAGTGTATAGTACAGGTCAATGTACAATACGTGAAAATACATATATGAATATAGAATTAAATTTGGTGAGAATATTGATCTAAAATGAAACATTCTGCACCAAAAAAAATGAGACTGAACATATTAGAATACTTATCATCAGAGATGAATAAGGAATGGAATGAATATATTATTAAACACTTTCTTTCTACACCACAATATTACGGACTGGCAATCACAAAGCCATTTTCAGACAGAGGTTTTGGCAATAATTCGGTAATAATACCGTTACACTTAATACCGACATAAGCCATTCATACCAACCAAATATTGCGGTAATATTGCTGTAATACAGTATGAACCGTAGGCTTATACACAATTTGGCTTGTGTGCACTTGAAAGAACTCAGTATATCTTTTGAGACGAGTGGGGGGGGGGTGTTACCCCGGTGTACTGGTCCATACAGCCCCTGTTGTGGACAGACAAGAATAGCTGGTACCAGTTTACCAGGTAGCTCAGACATGAACAGACCCTTAGGAGAGAAGCAGGTTAAACAAGGTATAAAATGTCTCCCCAAGGAGTAATATTGAGGGAATGTGACCCGATTCCTTTCAGATACAATCCAGAATGCACCATACCAAGAACTTTTACTTTTACTAGGTCTGAGATAAATTACCAGGGGCGTACGGTGAAAAATCTAAGGGGGGATCGAAACGAAAGCGCAGGGGCAAGCTGAACTCAGAGCAATTTAGCGAAGCTTTCAGAATTCGCGGGGTGCGTTATTTGTGAGTGAAGCAAGCATATTTAAAGGGCACTTTCTTTAAAAGGGGGGGGTCAACCGCACCCATCAACCCCCCCACGGTATGCCCCTGATTACACAATTAGTATAATTATTAAAATCCAATGTAATACTATACTAAATATATACAGTTTAAATCTACCGTCATTCTAAAAAAAAACAGACAAAAGGTTTGAAAAGGAATAAATTCTAGGTTAATTTAAGTACAGCTTCTCTAGTTATGTCAACAACATTTACTCCATAGTTCATCAAATTCCAATCAATTTTCAAATGTGATCTCTTCACCTTCTCTGTCTCAATAGGACTAATAATAACCAAACTTCTATAGACTCTTTATGCTTGATTTGGCTACTAAAGAAAAACAAAATTAAGTAGGATTTAACTTATATTTTCTCAGCAATGGAATAGGGGTCTTCAGAAATAAATTATGTTTAAAAAGAAACTCAATACTTTTCTCCCCTTGAGCTCCAGTGAATGCAATGTTGTGCAATTTATATGCCATCGAATTTACAGGTGCATGCTTAAGACAATACAAAAAATATAATGTATTAATACGTATCCCTGCCAACAGGAAAATTTTAAATTGTGGATTACCAAATTTGGTATAAAATTTGCTTTTTTAAAATTTATATCTGATATTAAAAATAACATGCAAGTTGGCTTTTAAATTTTTAAATGTCAATTAGAATATCAGGAGGGCATTACTTGTACAAACTTGGCAAGTTTCTCCAGTATAGGCAAATTGTTGGCACTGTATGCCAATATTTATGTTTTATACTGAGAATATTTGTAGTCATACAAGTCATACCCGGTAAATATTTGACCTAAATTTCCATATTCCTTTTCACTTGACGGCCAATATAATTAATACCATTATTTCATGCTTCAATTATACTATCTATTTTAGATAATTTTTTCCTAATTCATAGTTTAAATACATATTTTGCAAGTAAGATAATAAAAAATATAGATACAAAATATAAAACAGGTCTATACTATTATTATTTTAAAAAATTTTAACTTTTAGACTTTTCATTAAATTAATTTTATTTAAATTATATTAATTCAATAAATCATCTTTCATCACAAAGTTAATGTGTTTATAGAGGCAGCTTAAAATTTATCATTTTTTTTATAATAACCTGGGATCTACAGTATAAGCTATCATCTCATTATTAACATAATATTTACAATATAATATTAAATGTTGTTTTTCTTTAGGGCACGTAGAAAAAATTATTAGATTATCACTCTTTTTTTTTTTAAATTGAAGAGGGAGGGCGGTTTTTTTTTTTAATCGGAACAATGTTTTTATTAATGAGGGAGGGACTGTTTATATTTGGTTTGTTATAGTAAATATTGTATAAAAACTGGTTTAATTTTAGTTTTTTAAAGAAAATGTATTTGAAGTCACAAAATTGCATTTTATTTATTTTTATGCTGTTTATAATCTTTGGGATTTAAAATAATTTATTCCTGCATCAATATTTCCCGATTTTTTGACACAGGCGGGAGTGATAACCTAATAAATTTTTTGTATTTGCCCTTATCCATTGAAATGAAGGGATGATTATTTGAGTATACATATTCATTCATTCAATATAAATACTCCATGCTCAAATCTACGCGTTCCTCAAATAAATTCCCCCTCACAAACCTGCTTGTACGAAAACCACCCTGAGTAAATATGGTACAGTACATTGACACATGTACATCATCAACAGGTCACAGGACAGAAATATACACTTGTACAAGCCACTGCACATCTCTCTCTCTTTACTGTAGCATTTGGGCTAGACTGTGCAAGGGGATCACCAATCCTCCTTAGTGCGAGTCTGTTTATACCTTTCAGGTATATGCTGCAGTAGTACTCATATATTAATCATGGGAAGAGAGGACAAACATTGATAAAATGTCTTTACCAAGGGCACAAGTGACCTACATAGCAAGGACTTGAACCCCTAATCAAATGGTTAAAATTCAGAGCCTCAATCGCTACGCCAACCATTTCCTGTAAACATATAGGGATAATACAGTAGGTTTCAAACATTGATGATAGATACAGTAAGAAATGATAATAAATTTTAGTACATAGTTATGAATATTAAATGGATGTGTGACTTAACCACAGGAGTAAAAAGCATTTTGGAAGCATCTTGCAACCCATAACCTTGGCATAAGGCATATAATTCGCGACAACTATTTTCAAGAACCAATAGAAGATGAATGATATTGGGAAAAAGGAAAGAAAACACAGAATGCAAACAGAGAATGTTTGCCGTTGTCTAATGGCACAAAATAAATCAACATTCATCACTTGCACTTCTCACCTTCATGTTTAAAACTTAAAAAGGCAGAAACAACAACCCTGATAAAATGTACTAATACAACATTGCCATATTTGCTCTTGACATACAATATCCCCAACATCATTAAATTTCCTCATTAAAGTTTACCAGCATCAGAATCTGATACTATGGCAACAGTATTATCACCCAACGAAAATAATAACTCGGTAAACCAGTTGGAACTTCATAACCTCAGTGTCAATCAAAGTTAGTCTGTGATTCCAGGCTGACAATTCTGTCAGGAACTTTCATACAGACTTGACCCAATTTTTCAGATGACCTTTACAATTATTTGACTAAAAAAATGATATGGTTATCTGGTGTCTGCTAGAGAACACTGGACAATGCTTTATTAAGCTGATAGTATCTACATAATTATTATGTGGGGGAAGAAATATGTCAACTGATGTGAGTATCCATTAATCATTAACACATTTATTTTCTATTATACAAACTGCTATTGTAGATGAAAATTTGGTAAACTGTAAATTTTGGTTTAAAAAGTCTGGTGTAAAAATACTGGGATGCAGACAATTCTTCCAGGCGCTACCCCACTGCCTCAATGTTTAGTACTTGGAAGAGGAATTATTATCTTTTAAATAAATATCTAGATATTATTAATGTGATGAAATGGTAAAAATCTTTTATTTTCTTTTTGGTTTTAATGAACATTAAATAATACACAAATAATAACATAAGCATATGCCTACCATATTAAAATACTAAATTTCTGCAACATACAATATAACAGGATTCCTTTTTTATTCTGGCATATCTAAGGTACATAAAATCAAGAACAAAGTCTGACACTTATAAATGTCAAGGTACATCCATTGAATAAATTGAACAATAGTTCAAGTGATAAATACATGTGATTAAAATAATACACGATAGTTGACTCGTCCAACGCTTTCTAAATGGGAAAATTACCACTGGGACAACAGAGCTACCACCGGGTGCTCTGCACTGTCATTTTACGACCTTCACTTGAGCAAAACAAAACCAAATCGCCCACCACGTAACCAGACAACATTCATACGATACCCGTCTTACTAGAGGATACAAATCAGTCAAAAAATAATACAGCGACCACGTAATACGATGCACAATATTATAATAACGTAGTACTAAATTAAAGTAGGCTTATTAAGTATTCTATTTTTTTTTTTAAGCAAAATCTAGAAAACCGGACTAGTGAATGAACACTCAAGTATCGTTCCGTTTATTACAATCAGTGAATCACAACAAAAGAACGAAAACAATTGGCGGAATATAAATACAACAACGTATTTTAATCACCTTGGATCTGGTAGCACAATTTTCTTGCTTGCTCTTGCTGCAGGCGTTGTTTTGCTCTTCTCCATAGCCATCAAATAGCTCACATCAGCTAAAACTGCTTCCAAATCCGCCATTTTCACTGTTGGCTGTGTACTACCAGCACCGCGAAAACAAAAATTAGATGATCCGGGCGCTAGCCAAGCCTCCACAAATAATCACAAATTGCTTCAACAAATTGGGCTAGATAGCACTCTTGCAATCACCAATTACAACTATCTTTCCAAATACTGCATGTAGATCAATTAATATGTACTATGAATCCATATTACTCCATCTTCGTTGGCAGAGTTCTTGGTTTCAGTAGCAATAGTATAGCCAAGCCTTTTTTCCCTGACTCCAGGTGTTCTCGTTACTATACTCGCTATGTTTACTTGCTCGCTTCAAGCCTTTGGTGATGGTGTTGGCTATTTAACTTGTGTAGAGGGCGCAATATTCGTCTGCAATTTTCTGGTATTACTCATCAAAAATATTATGCTGTGTAAAAGTTCGTTCACTTTTGATTATGACGTTAGGTGACATATCCGAAATATCATCATTTACAATTCATTCTTGCTAGAATAACAGTCAGTAATAAATAACTAACTAAATCAAGTAGTACACAACGATGATGACGACAGTTTTCTTTTTAGTTTTAATATAACGTACTCGCGCGAATAAGCGCCCCGTTTGAATAACCGCCCCTCCTAACGTGAAAATTTCCTTAAGCGCCCAGTTTGAATAAGCGCCCCCTTATAAGATTTTCTTTTTAGCAAATCAATCAATCCTGGGACTGTGGTTGTTGGCATGATTTGAGCTGTAGAGTGGAAACACATTCTTCTTCGGTCAATATATCAAAATGAATATATTCAAGCTCTTGGACAGATGAGAGCTCCGATCCCTGGACATACAGTGTATTTCCAACTTTACTCTTTTTACATATTTCTCTATGCCTAGTCCTACTCCTCTTTTTCTTTTTCCGACCTAATAGCACATTTGAGTTTTCAAAGAAAGAAATACAATCCTGCCATCCTGCTAATCTCAATTGGCCGTTGGCCAACAAGCTAACCACAACCCACCACCACTAATTGCATCTGCTATTTTATTGTTATGTACATATTCACGCATTCTTGTCATGAGCCATGTTCTCTGTACGATTATCTTTTCTAACCACCATTCGTAATGTCCTTATATAGTCTTTCTTCATTCAAAAAGTGCCTCTTGAATTTAATAATTTCCCATAAGAACCCCTCGATTTTCATCTATTTCCATAAGCGCCCCATAATTTCCACTCTGTTTTCATAAGCGCCCCGTTTGAATAAGCGCCCTCAGAAATTGCAAAAATATTTTAAGTGCCCGGGCGCTTATTCGCGCGAGTACGGTATTTATAAAATAAATATTGGTAGGCCTAAATATATTAATAACAATCATAATTGTTAGGAATAAATCAAGATGTGCTTAAATAGCATATTATAATCGTAATATACGGTAATGAAGATGAATATCGAATGAAGATATCATGAATGATAGTAGTGTGTGATACATTTTTGAAAAGTGATAGTGATACTAGTAACAAAAATATTTGTAATTTCAAATGTCACTATGTTACTATGTAGTCCAGTTACAAATTTAATTAGAACGTTTAATGATTAGAAATTCAATGATGTTCTTGATATGAATAATGATGGGTTTTTTTATTATGATTTGTTTCATCTGGATGTTATTTTCAACCTTTCTTTTACTCCTTGTATGACTAAATTTATAACTCAATTCAGTATTTTCTGCGATGTTTTAATTGTATTTTCTGATGTGTTGATTATTGAAATAAATAATAGGATGATAAAGAATATACCTGAAATAGTTTAACTTTATTATTTGTTGGAGTAGGCTTATAGTTCGAATTGTTGTGAAGCTGTTTTTGAAGATATAGATTATACTGTATATTTAATTGGCCTATGTGATTATCATTCAGCAATAAAACGGGGAAACCCCCAAAGATTACCCAAGTGTCAATAGACCTTTCCGGAGTGTCAATCAAACTTATCAACTGACTAATCAGAACAGCGCTAGGGATACGCGCGCGTCTCACAAACACACGTGTTTTCCCACAAACGCACGTGTTCGCGTATGTTTTAACACTGTCGTCTTGTGGGACCTTAGCAACAATATCCAAGGGGCGGGGCTTAGCGGAAAGGTCCATTGCTGAATCCCAGCACGGATGCCAGGCCTATGTTACTCACCTGGTCTATAATGTACTGAATATTTAACATTTTTATTTTCAGTAACCCCCGCCCGCCCACACCTCCACCAACTCAACATGGCGATGGATATCGGTGTTTTCGGAGATTTTTCATGTTTTAGTAAAACGACTGTAAATAAATGGCTGTTTAATTTGTAATTAATGAATTAAGCCGATTGTTTAAATAAGCAAAGTTAAATGCTTGTCGATTTTGTTTTTCTAGACTTTTATACTGTTTAAATGTATTTGGACTTTAAATAATATTGCTCATAACTAGAGGGCGGTGTACACATTTTATGTGTAGCGTTCCTTAGGCAGATAAGAAATATTGTACAAACCTGCAAATTTAAAACACTTTTTGATTATTCCCCGAAACAACGACAATCTACGTTAATCAGACCTTTCTTCTTTATTCAATTCTGATCAGCTTTGTATACATTAAAAAAAATGAAAAATTCATTGACTTGCAGGGGTGTATCCAGGATTTGTTTTGGGTCGGTTGTGATCATAATTTTTTGGACCTTTTCACAATGATATAACAGCAAGGTGTGATTGAAATGTCAATACAATTTTTTTTAAATACGAATTGCTGCCGAATTGACACAGACTAAGGACGTGATTACGTCACGCAATTAGCAAGGTCTTTAGACTCATTGCTGGTACCTCAACAATGCTTTTTCATTTATGTTATTGTGAAAAGGCCCTAGAAAAAAATGTCTTTGGAAAAAAAATGTGGACCTTTGAAAATTGTTTTTTTTTTTGGGGGGGGGTGTTGTACGACCTTACCAACCCCCACCCATTCTTGCATACACCCATGGCTTGTTCGGAAGAGTGGGACCAGCTCAGTAACTCAGTCCATACATCGCTGGTTGTGTTTGAAGTTACTGGCTTTGGTGACCTTTCATTTAATTTCAATATTATTCAAATAAGCTACCGGTATTTATAAGTCGGAAATTTTACATAAATATAGATCTACTATAAGCCTATCGTACCGTATAACATCACGAGTAGTGATAATCATGGTGACGTAGCGAATTAATTTTGTGGAGCCATCGGAAGCATCAAAACAACTTTTCTATGAAAAAAGTCCGCGGTGACGTTTGTGACTCTCCCTAGACGTATAGAGCGACAGTGACCATTGATTCATGGTAAAATGACAGGATGCTGAGGTTCGTCCGATCCGAGTTAGGACTAAGGTATAATGTCATCGCTCAACACACAAAAGCATTATAAAACCTGCTTCGTAAACAATTAACGTAAACAAAATAAGGCTATACCAAATTAATTTTTTATTCGGAAATTAAATGTAGGCCTATACATACAGACACACATAATGTTTGCGGGATATTCCACAAAAGTATATTTTCAGTGTTCTCTTGTTAGTCTTTTTTTTTTTCAGAACTGTTTATTCCCAATATACGGTACTTTCTCACTTTACCACTTTACTCTGATTGGATAATTGCCTCATTTAAATAACTGCACATTAATTATTTAGGATTTCTGGTAATTTGCACTGTATACAATTTCGTCTCTTTGTACAAACAAAGGATATGTGAATAAAATATTAAAATTGCAAAAGAAAGCCTTAAGAATAATTACCAATTCCATATTTATGTCATACGAAACCTTTATTTGAAAAACTAAATCTGTTGAATGTTTCTGATCTGTACAAGAAAAAACTAGGTACTGTATATTTATGTTTAAATACAACAATGGAATGTTACCCACAACCTTTAACAATAGCTTTACTGATAGTAAAAGTATTAATGGGTACAATACTAGAAATAATAATAACTATCGTCTAGATATTCATAAGATTGAATCTGTATTTTCTACTGGACCTAAATTTTGGAATAATTTGCCAGAAAGAGTTAAAAACTCTAATAGTGTCAATCATTTTAAAACACAGAGTTCTAAGCACATCCCATCTCTTAATGCGAGTTAACTTTATAGCAATACTGTGACTTAAGTAATGATTACTTGTTCATTTTGGCAACATGTATTTCATATGGGTGGGTGGGTCTCTGTATCTGCCGTAATGTAATGTAATTTGTTTTGATTTTTGTGTAATTTTAATGTTTTTTAATATTCTTCTATATTGCTTATTATTGTATTTCGTTAAGGTGATAAAACACATTGTCAGGCCTTGCCTTTGTGTTGTTCCTGCATCTAAATTTTTTGTTGTTTTTATTCACGATGGAAAAAAAAGATTGATTGATATTACATGTATTATTGCTGATGATGTAATTAAATGGCCATGTCAATTTCTGTAAAAGCATTCATACTATTCAGGCACACATACATATAATATTATGGACGCGTACCGATACGCCTTAACCAGCTGGGCCACTAATGTTTTCATTGCGTGTTGTAGAACAGCGCTAGTTCTCAACACAGAGATTAATATGATACGCCCCCATCAGCATTTATACATCTCCAAAAGAATATGCTCAAATTTTATATAAACTTAGAATAGGATTACCAAAACAAGGTTAAAAGTTTAATCGTATATGATTTACAGTATTTCTATAACTAGTTTTCATTTTAATCCCTTATTGGTTCTCTCAATAATCTAATTTTATCCGAGTATTATGACGAAAAGTTCACAACCTTTTTAGGTTTTAAAATTAAAGCAGTAATGACCGCTTTGTGAATGCAAGATGATAATTTTATACCTTTTTTCACAGTATTTCTTTAACTAGTTTTCATTTTTATTATTGTATTTCAATAATCAAATTTATCCAAATACGTAGCCGGTCATAAGGTAGCGTGGCCGACCGGTCTAAGGCGCTGGTTTAAGGCACCAGTCATTTCGATGGCGTGCGTTCCAATCCCCATTCATTACACCATTACAGTTGGCCTAATTCATACGTCTGAGATAAGACGTTAATCCATTAAACCATGGAGGAATTAAAAACTCCATAGTTAAAACATAATAAATTATTCCTTTTGTGAATGTAAGATTAGGTTAAACTTTTCACGTCGTCGGTGGTGGGCGCATAAAACGAAATTTCATGGAAATTAGATCTAAAATGTGTATAGATTATACAGTATATTAATAAACAATCAGAATTCTCTGTACTGTATTATGCTAAACATTAAAGAATTATGACTTCCTTATGTTGTGGTAATTTTAGGCTATGTAAAAAATAAATGTTGTTGATCGTCCCCTCCCTACTTACAAAGAAATCGCCCGACCATTTTTTTTTTG